TTTTTTTTTTTTTTTTTTTTTTTTTTTAACATACAATTTTTTTTTGATATAAATAAAAAAAAGAAAAAAAAAAGAAAGAAATGTTTGTTTGATTTATAAACTGCTTTTATTCATTTTTAGTACTAAGTTTAAATAACTGTGAACAAGGCGATATGTTTTGTATCAAGGTTGCATAAAATTAACTAAATGTTTTCTCTCTCTCTCTCTTTCTCTTTTGAATTGGAGAATACATTGCAACTGTGCCATAGTCTATGGCAGGTCTGCACAACTCAAAATGTAAGGCGGGCCGTAATACTTTACCGGTTCGAAAAACTTGTGCGGGCCGAAAGAAAATAGGACGGGGAGGGGGGGGGGAAGCTTAAAGAAAAGAAAATAAAAAAGTAATATTTCGTTACTTCGTGTGCCACAAAGTGGGTGATGGCGGGCCGTATGTTGTGCAGGCCTGGTCTTTGGTATGCCGTAAAAATCATAAGTATCAGTAGTGTAATATTGACTTCCATTTTTGTCAAATAATATTTTTACGATAGAAAAATCTGATATACGAATTATTCTAAAGACAGCGATTCCCAAACATAAAATTAGGAGGACATTAAAATAGCGTCGTATAATTATTATTTGACAGAGGTATGAAACCATAAAATCCTACTGAAAGTTATCTGTGGTAGCAAAGTGCCCACTCAAAGGACACGACTGCGTCATAAGTCGTTTAATCACGTAATTTCGACCGTGTAGATTCATTCTAAGCTATCTACAGGGGCGTGCGAAAAGGGGGGGGGGGACCAACCCCGGGCGCCAACATAAGACAGCGCTTAAATCGTCGATTTATATATACATAAAAATATATATTCGTTTGTGTAGGTATGTGTGTGTCGTATATATTTACTTAAGAAACGATCGTGCGCCATTTTGATTCTATTCCCCGCTGACAGCGTTCCCACAGCACGGCCCTGGCTATGCCAATGGATTAGCCTCTAAGACCTTACCCGCGTCTTCTCACCACTACGGGTACCACTATTGCGTGCCATACATTTATATTCGGGACAACAATACATTAGGATCGATACAAGGAAATCAAATGAGGAGTTCGATTAAAACTGTTGCTTTTTTCTATTGAGACCACATAAGCAGGTCAACATATTAAATTGATATTTTTCTCATTCCCAATCATTTGTGGGTTGTTGTTGTTATTGTTTTAGACATTTCTTATCCCGCAATGATTCTCTCCTGGTCGAGCTGTCGGATTTCCTTGAGATGACTTCCGGTACCTTGACATTCCCTGGTGGTCGATCGTTCGGACCGGGCCGGGCAACGCTCTTCGACGGCTCAGAGCTGTCAAAGCACGTGGCATTGGCGATGGCGATATCCCGGTCGGACCTCGACATGTTGACCTTTTCCCACGTGAGCTCAGTCCTGGTGCCCACCACGTCTTCAAACAGCCCCGTGACGGTAAACCTGTACCTCCCCTCGTTGGTCACGTCATCAATTAGGCCATACGCCTCGGGGTACGCACTCTTCATGGCGTGCCAATGCCAAGGGTGGGAATTACTTCCGCTCTTCCGCTTGAGGTCAGTGTAAAACGGGGTACTCTGGTCACCAAACCGGTAGTTGAACGTTGGTTCTGAGCTGCTCCCGTAGAAAAAGGTGGTGAAAATTCCCTTTCGAGTCGGTTGGCGTTCTCAAGAATCCTTGCAACTCTGTTGAAAACTTTGCAGCAACGGTGGCCACGTAAGCGACTGTCGTCCGTGTTTTAAATATCTTGAGCCTCCAACTCGCGGCCGAATGGGGATACACGTTGTTACTGTTCGTTAGTGTGAAAGCTTTTGTTTGCTCTTTGTCGGTCACGTCAAGTACTTTTGTGGTGTTCGCAAATTCAAATTGATAAGGTGCACCGGGAGAGTAATACGGTGGTTGAAAGCGAATGATCAGTCCAAGTTCTTCTGGATTCTTCCAAAATAGTTGCGGTGTGTGTGATGCTTCTGACGACCGACTTGTTTAAAGTTACCGTTTTACTGGAGACGGTGTTGCCGTGGTTGTACAAAATGCCGTGGTCGATCGTCTCTGGCAGTAATTCATCGGTAACCGGCTGACCGTAAACAATGCCGTGAACCACAAAACTCCAATGACCGTAACCAATCCCGAGGCGCTGGTCGCTTTTCTTCCCTGTGCATCGCCCACTTTTGTCAGCTGCCCACGTATCTCCATTACGCCTGAAATCCTCGCCTACATACTTCGCCCGGCATCCGTTGCACCAAGCGTAACCGAGGTAACGTGCTAACTTAGCGATGTCCACCAGTGTCGTATCCATAATTCGGGGTCTTAACCTTGTACGCCTCGTCTAGCTGTTCCGGTGCTGATGCCATCTTGCAACAACGTAGCATTTCCAGGCAAAAGAGTTCGTCACAGCCTCCACGATACAGGCCAGTCACAAAATAACCATCTCTGCATTTGCAAAGTACTATATTGTCGAAACAGACTCCTATATCCTCATTGTAACACTCACCATAGGTGCTGGGATGCTCAGCAGGCTTCGAACACCTGCCTTCTTCTAAATTGTGGAGCCACCCGCGGTTGTCTTCATTCCTGTAAAGTCCTTGAAGGAAATACCCTGCCGGGCAGAGCCCCCAAGAGTTTATACTATCTAAAATTGTCCACCAGTCGGCATAGAAGGTTAGGGATTTAGAAGTTTTCCATGGCGCTGTTTTACTACAACATTCAGCCGCCTCAAGCAGGGAGAGACTGTCATGCCCGCCTTGTCTTAAGTGATTTCTAAAGAAGCCTTTGATGTAATCACCATCACTGTCACTGCTTGACAGACCCGTCTTATCGAAACTTAAAAGCCAGTCCGACTTCCTGCATGAACTGCTGACAACGTCAAAGACTGCTAGCATGTACACAATGGCACTAATGGGCAGCATCTTGGAGTCTAGTTTATAAGATAATGACAGGGATAAGAGAATGACAGAATATCACAAGCTGGTTGATGATTCTTTCCCTGACCAAGTGGTTAAAGAGATACGGAGGGGCTTTGTATAATGTCAGACTTAAATAGAGGTATATGAACGTGACAATTTTATCCAAAATATATTAAAAATATTATTTGAAATCGGGAACAATTTACCTATCTCAAAAAATGACTGATAAATACGAAACGTTAAGCTAGACAAATTTGATATGTTAACTTACAGTAAGCCCCTGACGTTTGAATTTAACCAATGTCTTTTTTTTTAAAAGCTATTTATAGGGATATCTCGACCCAAATGTTGCCTTACTGACAAGATAGCGTGTGAAAAATAATTATCCTATTTACTGCAACTGCAATCTATAAGTAGCGCCGAGGTCAACAAGACAATTTGAAATCGGCACGTCTGATAACTTGAGTGACAGCCACAAGCAGCACCCAGGCCATATATCATGGCATGCTGTTTTTTGTGCGGGTTTTTTTGCAACAGGTTTAAAAAGCATTGCGAAATGAAAAGTATCGGAGCTCGACGAGGACCATAATATTGCTTGGGGAAATTCAATCATTTTTGTTACCAACTAAGTCATTATTAAAGTAAAATGTAAGACTTTGCGTGTAGCTTTAATTTTTTTTTTTTTTAAATAAACACAGCGATCTCGTCCTTTGCCGCATTTAACTTTAAGACTTCTTCGGCATCAGCACATTTCCACGTCTGCCTCCAGCTCACGTCTCCGTGTATTCTTTGGCCTTCCTGTCTTTCTTTTCCCCTGTGGGTTCCGTGTTAGGGATTGTCTGATGATGCTATCTGGATTTTTTTCGGAGAGTATGACCTATCGACCTCCATCTTACGGGCTGCAGCACGCAAAACAAAAATCGGTTCAACTTGCAACAGTTCTGTAGCAGCCATGTTAGTTTGAGGCTACATCAAGTTCAAGTCGTCCTTAGCAGTAGGCCTACTCGAAGTTTTTTGGGGTTGGTCAACCGTACTTGTTTTGTTTAAAGTGTCCAGTGCCGGTCTTGTTCATGACTTCCTTGGTGCTGTAAGAACTCCGGATTGCACCCGATCCCTTCACATCCCAAAAGTATACTATTTCATTTTGTGAACTTTCGACATTTTTAGGGTCGCCTTCAGAGATGACGCTCAGCTAATCCACCCCTTAGACTACTCAATGCACCTCCGCCGCTAATTGCACCCACTGAGATGACGCCCAGCTTGGTTCCATCCATTACACTGCCCAATGCACCTCCACCGCTAATAGCACCCACTGAGATGACGCTCAGCTTGGTTCCACCCATTACACTGCCCTATGCCCCCCCCCCCGCTAATAGCACACACTGAGATGACGCTCAGCTTGGTTCCACCCATTACACTGCCCTATGC